GTACTTTAAAGTAATTCAGGCCTGGGAGAAGCCAAATGACCTTTTCCACTCCCAGTACAGGCAGTGGTGCTGAAAATACAACATATTTTGCGGAAGACACGATGGCCGCTTTTGAGAGAGGCAAGATATAAGAGGCCAGAAATCCACATGTTCATTAGTATTAATATTTAAGGTCCTAGACATCGTTTGTGCTACGATGATGTTACGAACTACGCATCAGCTGATATGTCCATTGGCGACACTACTGTAACAGACGCTCCTTCATCACCTAACGCTGATCACATAGAGAATACGTTTTTCAACAATGATACTATGGCTGCTTTTGAGAAAGGTGTGATTATTTGACATTATCCACTACATTCCTCTGTAAATTTTTAAGGCTTTGTTAAGGTCCTAAAGGACGTTTGAGTTACGACAGATTAACAAATTACTCAGTAGCCGATATGTCGCTGGTCGAAACGGCTGTAACGGATAGCACTGGTTTGTTATCTTCAAATCTTTGGAAGTTAGTTTTTTCTGTTTATCGTAAAATTGTTGAGTGATTCGTTTGTAGAAGCTCCAAGCACAGCTGAGGCATTCGGTTCGCTGTGTCATTCTTCTGAGAATATGTTCATTTCTGACAACACATTCAGAGAAGGTCATAATTAGTGAAATTTCATTGTATCTTAGACTCTATTCCAAACTTGTTATTTATCTTAGCAGATGCTGGGCAGAAGGCCACCTTGAATCTCAATGCCACTCAGTACAGTAACATTGACATGTCCCTCAACAGCACCGTTGATTGTTCTTCACGTGAGTCATGTTCTTTTTGTACTTGATAGTCGAAAATTTAATCGCTAAATTGATTTTGTACGAACTCTCCAGCAGTGTATTTCTTCCTTCATGACGTTCTTTCGACTTATTAAATTTTTCTTCATAATCAATCATTTAGTAAATTATTTTCTTCACTCCGATTTATGTTTTGCTTACAATCTTTTCATTGAAATAACCTTCTTTCTCGTCGCATGACTCGCCGCTATGTATATTTTGAGTGTTGATGTATTTTCCCTCACTTTTTCTTTTCGCGGATGCACAAGATATTTCAAAATTGTAATCACGTCATTGGTGACTCTTTCCTTTGCAAATCTTTCTAATTTTTTAATAATTCACTTTGAAGAGTTTTCACTTACAGTGGTATCCTGCTTCCTTTTTTCTTTTCCTCTTTCCCTTGTGTTAGGATTACGGCATAAGATTGAATGTGTGGGTTTAAAATCTCCACATTTCATAAGGTTCGGCCGATCCTTATAATGCTTATAAGCGCAGTAAGAATCGGTCGATCGAGGGTGCACTGTGGTTCGTTGCAGCTCGCAGTCAAGCACCATTTTGCCCGGGGTTCGGTATCATCTTTTCCGCACATTTGCTGCCGACTTCTGGGATCTTAACACAAA